AAAAAAAAAATTCGATCCAGGAAAAGGCTACATATGACAAAAAAGATGATATTGTAATAAAGTATTACAAAAGAGGTGACAAAAAAGAGATGATGCAGAAGAGGGACGCAGTGAAACCAATACAAATAAAATAAAAAAAAACAGAATGATGAAAACAACACACTGGAGAGAAAGAAGGCGGACGATAGAAAATGCAAGGTATAACGAAACCGCAAGGAAGATACAGATAAGACGGCATAATAATTAACAAAATAAAAATGATGTGGTGAAAATAGAATGGTAAAAATACGTGTCAAATGATATAGTAAAGGTGGTTTAGATTAATGAAATATAGCGATATTGCGAAAAGATTTTAAAACCTCCTATAAAAAAGTAAATAAATATTAAACTTTTTATTATGCTGCATAATTATGTAATTATGTAATAATCAATTTATTTAATTACCATATATTACCAAATAAAAGCAACCAAAAAATTTCTGATTTTTGCAGGTCAAATTGATAAGGTTGCTTTTATTTGGATATAAAAAAAAATCACATCTTTAATCACGTGATTCAAACCTGCCAATCAAATCTTGAATCAGATATAGCTTTGATTGGATGTTGATCATACATAAAAAATTTTTAATACCGTAGTTAAAAAAAAGCTATCGCTACATTTCAAATATTTCCTAGGATTTAGCGTCACTTATGATCTTTATTCTTTGAAGATTAACTTTTAATAGATTTCCAAACGTGGAAACCTTGTATACTATCACTGGTGCAAAATTATTGTGCCAAATATTATGGAGCGAACTATCATTATCACTATATTTTTGAAATTTGTACATGAATATTTATATGTATTAAGGCTAATAAGGCCTATACTAATATTGAAACATTTAATATTGGGTTTAGAAACTCCTGTAAAGAAAAAATTGTGCGTTTATTATAATATTTGGAGATAGAAAATGCTTGTGGAATAGACATTATTATAATAAACGTGGAATTAAAATATTTTAAATTTTTCTGATTATATTTGGAAGGTAAAAGCATATTAGTTGGCATATAACGAAAGAATAAAAGACTTTCAGATGTATACTTGCCTTATTTAGAGCAGTTTCTCCTTTACTTGTGCTATTTCAGACATTTATAAAAAAAAAAAAAAAAATCTTTATTATTTTTTTTCAAAAATGACAAAAGAGACTGTAAAAAAGAAAGTTTGTTAGTCCTATACTATTTAAAAAAAGGTAATAGTTGTTCGGTATGCCCTCTGTGAAAGTAATACCAAGGCCGCTACAAAGTTTGGATTGGATAAGTCTCAAGTTGGCCATTAGGTAATGAAACTAAAAGACCAATTAAGTGAGGTTGGCTACAAAAAGTCTCGTCATCTTGGTGGTGGTGGTAAAAAGGAATATTTCTCTGAGGAAGAAGCTCGGCTTTATGCCTGGATAGTTGAAATATATAATACAGCACTTGCTGTAATCTATAATAGTCTCAAGTTAGAGATGTTAAGAATTGTTTCTGAAACTGTCTTAAAAAGCTATGAACTTATGAAAAGGCGGCTTGCAAGTAGTTTCAAGGCTTCCTCTATGTGATTGATGCGTTTTTTAAAACACCATAAACTTACCCTATGCTGAAAACCAAAAATAGCACAAAAAATGCCAGCAGACCTTGAAGAAAAGTTGCTTAATTTTTAACGGTATGTGATCCAATTGCGCTGTATAAAGAATTACTCTTTAAGCAACATTGCGAACATGGACGAAACCTCTGTCTGGTTCAACATGGCTAGTGATCTTACGGTCGAAGAAATCAGTGCCAAAACAGTACATATTCACACAACTAAAAATGAAAATAATCACTTTATAGTAGTTTTAACATGCTTCGCTGATAGCCAAAAGCTTCCCCTATAATCATATTTAAGAGCCAAAGATGGCCTAAAACTAAGTCTCCCCCCTGGTATAATTGTTTCTTTTCATAAGAAAGGTTGGATAGATGAACCGGATATGTTGACCTGGGTTGATAATTATAGTAGAAACTGACCAGGTAGCCAGGAAAATGAGCCTTCTCTTCTTGTATTTGATTCATTTAGAGGACATATTACCGATGCTGTTAAGGCAAAAATTAAAGAAGATAATATTGATCTTGTTGTTATTCCTAGTGGTTTAACCTCTGTGTGCCAACCATTTAATGTTTCTATTAATTGTCCTTTCAAAGTAGTACTTCGTCGCCACTAGCATGCATAGATAGTAAATGGTAGTTCTGAAAAAACCAAAAAAAGAAACTTGAAACGTGCAGACCTACATACCATATATAAATAGGTACTTGCATCATAGGCAGAAATTAGTTCTGAGATTATTCAACATACCTTTCGCAAATGCTCTATTTCTAATACCATAGATAGTTCAGAGGATAATGAAATATGCCATGATGAAGTCTTTGATAATAGAACTCACCAAACCTCTGATGAAATTTGCTGTGATGAAATTTGCTATAATGAAGTTTCTAGTGAAAATATTATCATTATCGATTCTAGTGAAGATGAAGATAGTAATACTAATCAGGATGTTTTTGTTGAAGAAGACGATGAAGTTCTTATTTTTGCATCAAATCAATAGAAATGTATTGTCAAAAGTTTTTTAACA